CCCTGGTGATGCGGGTGCTCATGGGCGGCGGTAATCACTTACCATCAGGTGAGATGCACGCTCGTTTGTCCCCAGTGTTATAAAAAAAAAATTGCCAAATGTTCCATAAAAAAACCCTCAGTAGTTGTACATTTACTTGAACGAGTAAACTTCTCCATTTTATCATAAGGTGTAAAAATATACAATAAATGGTGCAATCGCCTGCGCTAAGGGTTTACGCTGGCGGGGCACCAGTGGAGGATGATAAGATGAGCATGAGCACCGTAGCAAATTAACCAGGAATTTACCACGGTGGAACAGTGGGGAGGTACTTGATATAGTACATTGTTAGTAATGTAGACTATTGATCCATTTTAAATTATTAACATCATAACAGACATATCACCATAAAATCACGGGATCTTACCACTTTTTATATTTGCTGAGTTCCCGATATTTCGGTAGTGTTCCAACCACCATGATCACGGGTAAACTGAAACAAATATAAAACGTGGTAAGATCCCGTGATTTTTACTAATTATACGTATAAATAATGACCGCGTCAAGTTTAAAACAGTATATATCACCATAAACTCATACACTTTTACTATAAACAGCAATTTTTTATTAATTCACATAGTAATACGATAGCTAGTGTAATACAAAAACTTACGTCCATGCGAAGTGCTCACAATATACTAATAGTAATAAGTAGGTACGTATATCTTGTAGTTAAGGTAACGTATTGAGCGAGAAAATTGCATGCTCATAGCTCGCAAGTAGCGTAGCCAAGCCTTCAGTATTTCACAGGACGTTCATGTCCTGTATATACGGAAATGAACATTGACCGTTCACGACACGAGCTGTAAGAACTATAAAAGTAGTTTAGGACTATGTTAATAGCTGTTCCTGTACGGAATTTTCATTTACTATAAGCTATAGACATCTACATAAGTACACAGTGTAGATACACTGGCTTTTTGAAAAAGAATAAAAATTCAGTTGAGTTTCTTGCTCGTTCTTATACTGAAAATAAAATATATGATAGAATTATAATACAAAAAACTGCAGAAAGTCCTACATTAATAAATTATTCTTTGATTTGATTTCGTATATGTGATTTATAGTAAAATGAGTATTCAAAACCTAGTGGTTTAAACCGCTTTACTATCCGATGCTCGCGGGTTCGATTTCTCGCACGGTACAAACATTCATGAGTATGATTGTTTGTATCGGTCTTTGTGTTTTCTATATGTATTATGTATGTATATCAGTTGTCTAACACCCATAACATAAACTATGTTTTGCTTGGGACTAGATGGCGTTGTATGAATTGTCCCAAGATATTATTATTATCAGATAATAAGAAAATAAATCTAAAATATATATAAATTAATGTCATGGCTTTATAACAGAAATATCATCATCTTTAAAAAGATTTTTTTTTATAGTTTCATTATAATTATTTGTAATTTTTCATTACATAAATAATCAAGTTTTTTATGAAAACAAAAAAGTTAACAACCCTAATCTCAAGTGCACTTAAATATTATGAGATGTAAGATATTACTTTACCGATTAACACCACATTTTGTTAGGCACATCTATACGGTGCTATTACTGTATAGTTTCATTATTATTTGTAATTTTTCATTACATAAATAATCAAGTTTATTGTGAAAACAAAAGTTATCAACCCTAATCTTAAGTGCACTTAAATATTATGAGATGTAAGATATTACTTTAACGATTAACACCACATTTTGTTAGGCACATCAATACGGTGCTATTACTGTATAGTTTCATTATTATTTGTAATTTTTCATTACATAAATAATCAAGTTTATTGTGAAAACAAAAGTTATCAACCCTAATCTCAAGTGCACTTAAATATTATGAGATGTAAGATATTACTTTAACGATTAACACCACATTTTGTTAGGCACATCTATACGGTGCTATTACTGTATAGTTTCATTATTATTTGTAATTTTTCATTACATAAATAATCAAGTTTATTGTGAAAACAAAAGTTATCAACCCTAATTTCAAGTGCACTTAAATATTATGAGATGTAAGATATTACTTTAACGATTAACACCACATTTTGTTAGGCACATCTATACGGTGCTATTACTGTATAGTTTCATTATTATTTGTAATTTTTCATTACATAAATAATCAAGTTTATTATGAAAACAAAAAAGTTATCAACCCTAATCTCAAGTGCACTTAAATATTATGATATGTAAGATATTGCTTTAACGATTAACACCACATTTTGTTAGGCACATCTATACGGTGCTATTACTGTATAGTTTTACTATTATTATTTGTAATTTTTCATTACATAAATAATCAAGTTTATTGTGAAAACAAAAGTTGTCAACCCTAGTATCAAGTGCACTCAGATATTATGCGCCTCGATGCTTGATGGCTGGACCGTGACACGAGCGTTGTGATGTGGCTCCGTGGAGTATGAAGAAATTGTATTCTTTAAAGTTTAGATTCTCTTCATGTTCGTAAACTACACGCAGCATCTTACTGCACTACTCGTATGTAACGTTCTATTTACCTACAGATATAAGATTTTATAAAATGCTGACTACGTAAACTTTGTTTTGTCATATAAATAAAAATCGCTATTAAAAACAGGGGTTGGTGGTAGAATATTGTAAATTTAGGGTTGTTTTATTTTTACTACATTATAAAAAAATTAAAAGAAACAAATTTTGTCCAAAAAATTTAAAAAAAATGTTAGGGGTGGACAAACCTTGTCACTTAGATGTATGAAAAAATAGACAGTAGCCGATTGTCAGACCTACAGAATATGTATAAGAAATTTCACAAAAATACGTCAAACCGTTTTTTTTTTTTTATAACACAGGGGTCAAACGAGCTCGCGGCTCACCTGATGGTAAGTGATTACTGCCGCCCATGAGCACCCGCAACAACAGGGGAATTGCAAGTACGTTGTCGGCCTTTTAAAAAGGAATAAGCTCTTTTCTTGAAGGTTTCAATATCGTATCGGTTCGGAAATACCATTGCTGGAAGGTGATTCCACAATGTGGTTGTGCGAGGCAAAAAGTTTCTAGAAAACCGTACTGTGGAAGACCGCCATTCGTCCAGATGATCAGGATGGTATTTCAGTTTCTGGCGGGTGGTACGGTGGTGAAACTCAGCAGCTGGTATTAATCCGAACAATTCCTCAGAACACTCCCCGTGATATATGCGGTAGAAAATGCACAGAGATGCAATATCTCGCCGCAAAGCCAATGGGTCGAGTCTGTCACATAGACGTTGATTCCGTTTCTGATGAGTATAGGTAAGAAACATTGTGACACGAGAATTTTATATATAATACAATTAATATATAATACAACAATTTTTTATTGTTTTTATTAGAAATCCATTATACTCGGGATAGCCAAGAAAAATGAATCTGTAATATCGTAAACAATATTTGAAAAGAATACGAGCTGAGTTTCTTATCAGTTCTTCTCATCTCGAAAGCACTCCGAACTGACGGCAGATTTGACATATCATAAGAGTCTGTAATAGACCTACATGAATAAAGATATTTTGATTTGTTTTGAAACTACATAAAATAACTTCTTGACACAGTCTACAATGATCTTTTTAATGAATAGATCTTTTTAACTATGCACCTGATTTTAATGCAGTTTTTCGCAATAGATATAGTGATTCAAGAGGACGATTTATATGTCGTGCGAAGCCTGGGTAAACAGCTAGTTGTTAATAAAGTAACAATATAAACGAACATATATTAGCAGTGATATTAAAATATGTTAAAAATGAAATACAAGTCGACAAAATACATAAAATACCCTTCTGGTCATCTGAATAAATGACACGCAAATTGCTTATACGCAATATTTTGCGAAATGTATCCATATTTGTTATAATTTTCTCTTTTTAGACGTATTTACACGTGTATTCCTTTCTAATATTATAAATGTGAAAGTAGAAATGTTTGTTACACTTTCACGTAAATACTACTGAACCGATCATCATGAAATTTTGTTCACATGTTCTTGGAGGTATTAGAATGAACATAGGATACTTTTTATTTAAAAAAAAATAACATTTTTTATAAAAAAATGATATCAACATTGTGATACTTCAGTAATGATTTATAAAGTTTATTCATTAAAAGTAAAATAATAATAATATCCGAACAATTCACAGAACGCTATCTAGTCCCAAGGTAAGCTAGCTAAAGCTTATGTTATGGGTACTAGATAACTGATACAAATACATGGTTATATTTTCGTAAATACATACATATTATACATAGAAAATACCCAGACCGATACGAACAATTATACTCATGAATACAAATGTTAGTGCCGTGCGAATCGAACCCGCTACTATCGAAAGTAAGGCGATGTGCTCGACCGCTAGACTACCGGGGCCGTCATTTAAATATTTCCTTTTTATTATATTAGTTTAGAGAATATTTAAAACTAGCTAATCACCCCGGCTTTGCTTGGGTATACATGTATCTATAAAATTGGAGTGTTTGTAATATTGAAGTAACCGTTTTTACTTAATGTATATGAATATGAATACGGTACATACACCAAAATTACATTTTTTACAATTATTATCTGTCTCTCTGTTTATTCCGACTAATCTCTGTAATGGTTGGACCGATTTTGACGTGACTTTTTTGGCAGGTAGCTGACGTAATAAGGAGTAACTTCTATTCTTAAAAAATGTTATATTTTAGAAAAAAAAAAATTAAATTCCACGCAGACGAAGTCGCGGGAACAGCTAGTTATATACATAAACCTTCTTCTTGAATCATTCTATCTATTTAAAAAAATGCTTCAAAATCCGTTGCGTAGTTTTAAAGATTTAAGCATACATAGGGACAGACAGCGACAGCGACTTTATTTTATACTATGTAATGAGGATGATGATGATGATGATGAAAGTACACATCTTTTCGCTATGTATAGTATCTAATATATTAACATGATATTTCTTTGTTACAGTTACTGTCTCGCTTAACATCAGTCTACTAGCGTGCAGCACTTTCGGACTCCTTGCCAGCGCAGTGTTGGTGATTGGCATATATACGGTAAGTGATAGACATATAGATATATCGTTTATTTGTTTGTTACTAATCACACACAATTACATGTACATAAATATAGACAACTAGCTTTTGGCTGCAACTTCGTTCACGTTAATTTATCCCTTTAGGGGTGGAATTTATCAAAATCGTTTCTTAGGGGATGCCTACGTCATTGTAGCTTTATGCATGCAAAGTCTCAGTCCGATCGGTATAAAATTGAAAAAATTAATATATTAAAAAAATACAAACTTTCACCCCCTATTTTATCTCCTTGGGGGTAGAATTAATTAAAATCCTTTCTTAGCGGATGCCTACGTCATAACATCTACCTGCATGACAAATTTCAGCCCGATCCGTCCAATAGTTTGGGCTGTGCGTTAATAGATCACTATGTCAGTCACCTTTGAATTATATATATTTAGATAGATACATAATACGACATAAGATTTACAAGTTGTATATTTTGAAAACATGCAAATTTGTAAGAAAGTACCCAATTTTTTTAAAAGCATTGAGTGCAATACTCCACCGTTATGAATCTCGTCACAAAAAGATTTTAGTAACAATCCGTATCAATATTAAAAATACATAGTTCTCGTCCCTATTCCATGGCAATAAAAATATGGAAAAAATTACTTAATGTTATAAAAAATGATATAAATATGTACAATAAATTTCTTATCCAATTAAAACAAATGTTGACAAATAAATCTTATTACTAAATTGAAGAATACTTTCAAGAATAATAATCAATAGATTAGTATAATATTCAAAACATCCGTCTCTGAGGAGAAAAGGAATTGTTAGTAATGTGGAGTAATTACCCCATAGCTTGCAATGTTACCATGTTAGGTTGACCTCCACGCGGCTCCCCTGGTAACCATCGTGATGAATTTGTTACGGTGGGCTAACTGACCTGATCTCATGCTCATATTATCACCCTCCACTGGAGCCTCGCCAGCGTAATCCGTTAGCGCGGGTCCATAATTTCATTATCATATACAAAAACAAAACATCCGCCTCTCTTCCACGTTGCAGTGTCTAAAACATGAATAATAAATAAATAACTAAAGTTTGTGTTATTATGTGTGATTTGTAGCAATACAAATACATTGTTCAGGGAACAAAACAATGATTTTCAGCTTTAATCCAACAAGTGGATTCATATATACTAACTTTTTAATGTGTACATGCACGATTTTATGATATGTGTATTTGTATATTTACTCAACCGTCATACTCGTGAACAGGTACTGTTTGTGAGAACTGGTCTGTTTAGGTTGCGACTGGTTGAACTTATTGCTTTTGCAATGGTATCTCTATTCTCTTAAATTTGAATTTAAAAATGAATCTGTATTATTGTAAACATGTACAACATTTATTTGAAAATAATACGAGCTGAGTTTCTTCTCAGTTCTTCTCATCTCGAAATCATTCCGAACTGACGGTAGATTTGACATATCATAAGAGTCTGTAATAGACCTACATGAATAAATATACTTTGAATTTGAATATAATAAGGTTTTTTTTACGTTCAGTGCTATTTATCTCTAATTATACCGTGGATTATTATAATTGGCTAAGAATGGTAAATATCTAAATTATAAAGTAGGAATATAAGCTGTTGTCATCTATACATATAATTAAAATTGGAGTGTCTGTTTGTAATTGAAATAACCGTCTTTTACTACATGCATATGAATATAAATGCGGTACATACACCAAAATATCATTTCTTACAATGTTTTACTGTCTGTCTGTTTGTACCGGCTAATCTCTGAAATGGTTGGATCGATTTTGACGGGAGTTTTATTGGCCTGGGACCTTTATTTTCAAATATAAATACATTTAAATACTGCAACACTGTCAAAATTGAACGTTCATAGGCCCGGAGACGATAACAAAAACTATTATTGTATAAATTGATTTCGCTGACTAAATGTGTCTATATACATTTTGTAATTATATAAATTAACTATCTGACCCTGCAAACGTTGTTTTACCATATAAATTTAAGTACAAATATCGCTATAAATGAATGATAAATTCTTGGTGAATTTGTCACGATGAGCTAACTGACCCGACCTCAAGCTCATCTTATCATCCTCCACTGGTGCCCCGCCAGCGTAAACCGTTAGCGCAGACGAGTGCACCATTCCAATAACATCATAAAAAAAAATAGATATTAGTCTATTCTCAGACTTACAAAGAAAATTTCATAAAAATCGGTGTAGTCGTTTCGGAGGAGTATGGTAACTAACATTATGACACGAGAATTTTATATATAAGATTAAAAACTATGGGTTTCAAATTATAGTTTTCTCACAAACTTGTCTTACATAAACTAAATCATTATTATAAGTATTACAATAGATTTTACTATTAATGACAGCTCCGTTATGTATTAGTTTATAATCTTAAATATAGATCATAAGTGCTAAACTTCTATATATATTTCTAAAAATAATAAATAACCCTGGACAATTAATACTTCTCCATCTAGTCCCACGGTAAGCCGAACTTGTCTTGTACTAGACAACTGATATAAATACTTAGATATGTTTTTTCCTGATTTTTGTTTATAAAATTTTCTTGAACACTTCCATAATATACATAGAATATTTGGATATATTTTCGTAAATACATATGTACATATTATACATAGAAAACAGTCAGACTCATGAATACAAATGTTTACACCGTGTTTTGCTATACCTACATAAACCATCAAATTTCTGACTGCCATGTTGAATATCAAACATACTCAGAAAAAAATGATGCATATCAACCATTGCGTTCATTAATGTTTATATTTGGTTCACATGGAAATATATTATAAATGAACGAAAAATGGAATTTTATTTATTCATTTAATTCGGATATCCATACATATTATGTTAATCAACTTATAAACTACTAGCTCTTATCACTTGGGATCTTTCTAAGATAAGAGCGTATAAATTCAATTTAAATCAATCATAGTATTTAATAGTAATAATAATAATAATCTCAGGACAATTCACATAGCACCATCTAGACCCAATTTAAGCTTGTGTTATGGGTACTAGATAACTGATACAAATACATAGATATATTTTTTTTGTAAATACATTCATATTATACATAAAAAACACCCAGACCGATACAAACAATCATACTCATGACAAATGTTTGTGCTGTGCGAGGAATCGAACCCGCGACCATCGGTCGTAAAGCGGTGTCCTAGACCGCTAGACCACCGAGGTCGAAGTATTTGGTTCCTTTACATGAAGGCTCAGTAATAGTTATTCTCATGCATCTCACCTATTATATATTCTTATTAAATGTAACCTACATTTAATTTATTATTATCATCCTCATCATCATCATCATCACCATCATCATCATTACATAAATATAATAATAATTCTCATTTTTTGTGCTCGTTTTAGAGTATTATTGTTGTCAAGGGTGTCCTATTCCAGTGATCTGTCCGGTCATAGAATGAGGGAATACGAGTATGCAATCGTGGCTTCCCGAGCAGTTACACCAAAATCCACTCCAAGCATGTCACTTAAAAAATCGTCCCACACGTATTCTAACACGTGCTAACTTTGAAATGACTTCACAGCTAGTTGTCTATATATTCATATATTTTCTTAGGTTTTTATATATTACTATTCATCATCATTATCCTAGTCCGGAAGACGTCCGCTGCTGAAGAAAGGTGACCCCGAAAAATCTCCACAACGATCGGTCCTGCGCTGCTCGCACCAAATCCTTCCAGCGATCATGACCAGATCGTCAGTCAACTTGCTGGACGCCTTCCCACGCTGCGTCTTCCGGTCGGCGCTCGCCACTTGGGAACTTTACTGCCCCAACGGCCATTTGTCTTAACTATTTGCCATGCCCATTGCCATTTCAGTTTCGCAATTCTTCGGGCTATGTCGGACACTCTGGTTGTTCTGCGGATCTCATTTCTGATTCGATCACGTAGAGATACATATCCAAGCATAGCTCTTTCCTTTGCCCTCTGAGTGACTCTGAACTTATTCATGGGGCCCATAGTTAGCGACCAGTGTCAGGGCGTGTGGTGACCGCCATAAGAATAGCACCACCCCATCTCTTCCCGTGGGTGTCGTAAAAGGCGACTAAGGGAATCATCGACCAGAGGACGGGCAGCAGCGTTCTATTGAGCAACAACCATCACAATGCGATCGCTAACCCGCATGCCAATCGTGGCCATTATGGCAATACTCCACCAAATAGATTTACACTCAAGGCTCCTGCCCTCAGTCCCCGGCAGCCCCGCAAGTGTTGACTATGATAGCAGTCATGGAACCGGTGGGAGCAGAGGTGCGAAGAATCCCCGGGTAAGACCACGCTATCATAAATGACTATCACTGGCCCCGGCAATATGCAACGTTCAAACACTGCGGATCTACGAGAAACGAAAATCTCTGGATGACTGGACTGGAGGAAGAGTTGAACAGATTGCACTGTCATGTTGTGAGATTATCTGAAGTCTGAAGAAAGGGGAAGGACTCGATAATCCTGAAATCCGGCAATCTGCTTTACCTGATGGTGCCACAAAAAGAGAGATAGATTTCATCTTGTCAATGAGAAGAAAAAATTTAAATGTGACTAATGCCGTCAAAATTAGGAGTGACCACCGGATGGTAAGAGACACTTTAAATCTGAATACACTCGAACGAACCTGACTGATGAAATCTACGCCCTACATCTGTACAGATGAAAAACACGAAAGCTTCCAGCTAGAGTTGCAAAACCGAATTCGAATGCCTTGGTGATGGCGTGGACATGGATGATTACAACAACAGGTTCGTGGAAACTGTTCGCACGGCTGGTCGAGGCAAATACCCTAGCTTAGAATGAACCGGAAAATTATCTATCATAGTCCTGTAGTTTCCGAACGACGCATCCCAGTATCGTTAACTTAGATCTCTAAATTCTTGCCTTGACGTTTATCACGAAACGCCACTTTAACACAAATTGTGTAAAGA